GAATGAAATATACACGAACATTCAAATTTTAATTACCAAAAGTTAATTTGAAGATAAAAGAATAGATTACTTGACCTTTGAAGGAATATGTTTAGACAACCTTATTTGAGTAACTCCCAACTCTCTTCCGTAGAGAATTAGATGTTCCTGAAATCAAAATCCCCCCAAAAACAAATTAATTGATTAAAGGGTAAGAATTTAAGATGCATGATTTTGAGAAACTTACTCAGTGGGTGTCCAATGGGATTTACATATATAAAGGCATATCCAGAAGGTAAGACAACCCTAAAATTGGAAGAATGGCAACCCTTGTCTAGTCACAGTAGAAGAATGAAACCTTCAAGACAGAAGCAAATGGTGGAGAAGGTATGATTTCATGGAGTGTGTGTATGTGTGTGTGAGAGAGAAGGCGATGGTTATGCTTACAGTCTGACCTCCAATTAAGGGAAGAAGATCTTGAACATCATCTCTCTTGTTGGGGATTTGGTGAACATGAAAGAAAAAGATAAGAGGGGATGGAGTGGTGGTGACAGCTACGAGAGTGTTTTGAACCAGAGCATTTTGACGCCATCTGCTCTTCTCTAAATTCATCAAACGTGCTACGTGTCTTCCTAAAAAAGAAACATAGATGACTCAACCAGAAGAATCTTGCCTTTTTCTTTATGAAATATTGAATCCGACGCGCACAAGAAGAAAAAGGAGTAATCCAAACGCACCAGAAATTACCTATGCGTGTAAAGCACGAAGTCACCTCAAACAAAAAGCTTTATATATATATATATATATATATATATATATATATATATATATATATATATATATATATATATATATATATATATATATATATATATATATATATATATAAAGAAAGTTTCAAAAATAAGGTTGTTTAGATATTACACATAATTTTAAAAATGTTTTAAAAAAATAATGTTGAAAATAATATAATCCAAAATGAGATAATCCAAAAGGTTAGGAATCAATCATATTTATTTGGTTTGATCCAAAAGTACTTTGATTTATTTATGTTATTATTTTTAATCATATCATTTATGATTCAAAATTAAGTTATTCAAAATAATGATCCAAAATTTGTTGTGGATAAAAATTTATGTAAATTGAAAATTTATTATGATACAAAATTTTTTGACCCAAAATCAAGTGATCCAAAAAATGATATGATACAAAATACTATAATTAAAGATGATATGATATAAAATTATATGATGCAAAAAAATAATATGATTCTTAATCTCTTATGATTCAAAACTTTTATCCTTGTTAAACTTCAAAACTCGAAAAGATGTGTAGTTCAAAAAAAAAAAATCAATAAAACAAAAAAAATCCTAATTTTTTTTACAAACCTACTAAAACCATTAAATATAAAACAATTTTTAAAAAACTAAAAAAGTAAATTCGAATTTAATTAAAAGAAAAAAGAGAAAAAGAAACTAAAATAGGGAATAAAAAAACTAAAAAAAAACATAAAAAGGTTAAATTTGAGTTTAACTAAACTAAAAATTTACAAAAGGAAATCAAAAAGAAATAAAAATAAAAGAAAAAACGTTAAAAAGCAGCCAAATACTAATATACTAGGCGAATGCTCGTGCGTTGCACGGTGGGATAATTATGTAGTTTAATATGGTTATATATGGTTTAATGTATTGTGAATAAGCCATACATAAAACTTGTATGCGATTAAATAGCATGTATATTTTTTGATTTACAGATTTTTTTCATAATAAATAATGAAATTTTTTTACTATTAGTTTAAAATTTTAAATGAAATTTTTATGTACATATTAGTATCTAATATAATTAGTTAATGATTGATTAGATATAGATTCTCATTTGTGGTCATCTATTTATGTTGAACCTCATAAAAATACATATTTAAAGACTTTTGTTAGTTTACTATTGAATAGAAAATGGTGCTGTATTTTAAGTAAATATAAAAAAATCTCATTCTCAATCTATTTTAAAATAGTGATATATTTTAAGTTAATATAAAAAATTATATTCTAGAACTAATGAAAAGAAAAAACGGAGCCAAATTTTTTAACAATAATAAAGTTAATTCCAATTAAAAAGTGCTCAATCGAAGATAATATCATTCAATAAACATCATAAGATATTACGTTATATATTCAAATTGCAGACATCATTTTTGTAAGAGTCATTCAAAATATATGAGACTATAGTGCCTAATACAAGAATGTAATAACCAGATGACCCTAACACATTTTAAATGAAATATAATTATAATATATTATCTATGCAACTAAATTTCTGCACAACATGTGGGATTCGTCTACTATATGATATTCTTCTAATATATTATATTATAGTATAAACATTATATTTGAAAAACCACTTTGAGTTTTATTGTAGTTTATAACATTAAATTTGTGATGGGTTGTATTTGATACACATTTGTGTATTTATATCTATATTATATATTTAAAACAAATCTTATATAAACATCCAACCTAAATATTCATCTTCAAGTTTTTTTTCTTCACCACGTAAACAAACTTTTGTTATAAAGCCTAAAATGGAATAAAAGACACTTAACTGTATGATCATGATATATTGTATTTTGATTGGGGCTTGTACAAAACATGCATTAGCATATATTATTAATTTATCTCTTGTTTTGGGTAATTCGAATAAGATAGCTTCAAATCCAACGTATCAAACAGATTACCCATTTACTAAAGTCTAAAACCCCAAAACTCAAGCATGTTCTAATACCATAGAAATGCATGAGGTTTTAGCAAATTATTATCTCATATGAATTACCATTGATTATGTGTGATTAATTATTAAGAAGGTGAAAAGATTTAGAGGTTTCAAATGCATGAGGTTTTAGCAAAATTTTGTGGGGGTTTGAAATGCATGACAATCAAGGGAAAATGCAAGCTTATAAGTATGTAAGATATGAATGTCTAACATACGATTGTTTCATATAGTACTTATTTCATTCTAAGGGGGTGTTTGACTAAGATTTTTACAACAATTTATTATGGTTATACACAACTATAAGTTAAAAAAGTGTTTTGATTAAACAACTTATCGGTAGGAAACCTCTAATAAATCATTTTTTTATAAGTTACTCTACACTTACTTATTAACTTATAAACTAATAACTTTAACTTATAAGCTAATAAGTTATATGATATAAGTTATAAGTTATAAGCTAATAAGCAATGCAAAACACCCCCTAAGTACAAAGGTTGTATAGGAATGCATTAGGTATACACATTGCATTTAACATTTCTGTCCTTAATAAAATAAGTTTTATTTATTTATTTATTATTTTTCATTTATTTTTATTTTTATTATCATTATTTTTTTTGAACGTTGGATTAGGGGAAAATGACCTTTGAGGGTAATAAAGTATTCGTCTTGTATTCATTAGGTCCCTTATCTTTTTTTTTTTGTCTTTATTATACCATTGAACTTATAATCCCTGTTCACCAAAGCCCTTGATACCGGTTGTTGTAGGTTATTACTTATGTGGATATTACGTGGCATTATGTGCCATAAACTGGGCTTATTAATTGCAAAGTTACAGTACTGCATCTTCTTGCCCGTTCTTGCCCTAGATCGACATGTCTTCTTCTTCTTTTTCTATTTCTTCCAAACGAAATGTTGAATTTCAACCTGAAAATCCTTATTACTGTGGGTTACCATTTCGTGTACGAACTTCACGAACTAAAGACAATCCAGGAAAAAAATTCAGATTGTGCCCTAACTCCATGGTAAAGCAATTGTTTTTTTACTTTTCGTTTAATCTTCTTTCTTTAACCAATTTGTTACTTTTTTCAAGAATGAAGGACCAAAATGCAAGTTCTGGGAATGGTTGGAGCCTGAAACCCTTGAAAATGAAGTCAATTCTGGGAAGGACAAAAAAGAACCGTGCAATTTAACCCTCAAAGTTTCTATATTGGAAAACGAGATCAACATATGTAAGATGAAGATGGAACAAGAAAATTTGGTTGTTAGACAAGAGTTTGAAAAACTCAAATGGAAGCTATTTACTCATAAAGTTATGATGATTGTGTTGTTTCTGTTGTTTGTGTTTAAGAAGTAGTTTAGCCCTTAATTTAACCCTTATTTTAGCTGTATTCAAAGACTAAATGTAATCCTTAATGTTGTAATTTGTTTGATGTATTATGACTAAATTTTTTTGATTAATGATAGTTTGATGTTTTGAGTGCTTTCCAAGAAGTATTAATGTGTTTAAAAGGTTAATGAATTGGACATGATGCATGGGTAAAATGGTCCAGATTAAATTTGGCAGTCAATTGTTATTGTGTTGATGTGATCCAAGGGTAAAATGGTCCAGATTAACCACATTGGATACGTCAAACATTTCTTAATGTATTAAGACTAAATCTTGGCATTAATCAATTGTTAATGTCTTGATGTGATCCAAGGGTAAAATGGTCCAGATTAAATTTGGCAGTAATCAATTGTTATTGTGTTGATGTGATCCAAGGGTAAAATGGTCCAGATTAACCACATTGGATACATCAAACATTTCTTAATGTATTAAGACTAAATCTTGGCATTAATCAATTGTTAATGTCTTGATGTGATCCAAGGGTAAAATGGTCCAGATTAAATTTGGCAGTAATCAATTGTTATTGTGTTGATGTGATCCAAGGGTAAAATGGTCCAGATTAACCACATTGGATACATCAAACATTTCTTAATGTATTAAGACTAAATCTTGGCATTAATCAATTGTTAATGTCTTGATGTGATCCAAGGGTAAAATGGTCCATATTAAATTTGGCAGTAATCAATTGTTAGTGTGTTGATGTGATCCAAGGGTAATATGGTCCAGATTAACAACAACAACAACACCAAACTTTGCTTAATGTAGTAATACTAAATTTACTTGATTTATGATAGATAATATAAGATTAAACAATCTATATGCAAATAACCGTACACCAAATCATATAGATAAAAGATAAAGTTGTAATATTCCATCATCATGTGCACTATTACAAAAGTTGTGCCCACAGTTGTCCTAATATGTCAAAAGATGTGCCATGTGCCATGATTCTTAAAGTTTTCCCAATTACATATTTATAAGACTAAAAGTTTGTCTTTCCAAATAAAATCATTCCAACACCATTAGGTTGTGTCCAGTGCTTCCTGCTTTCTTCAAAAACTTCCTCCTCAACCCTATCTTGGTAATTCTTTCTGAGTATTTTCGTATCCTCTGCCTAGTTGCAACTGGTTGAGCAGGGACATCAACATCTGGATGTGGATCATCTACTTGAACTGGTTCAACATGTGGAGCTGGTACATCAACTGGATCCACTGGATCTGCTTGAACTGGATCAACCTGTGGAGCTGGTACTTGAACTGGATCCACTGGATCTGCTTGAACTGGATCCACTTGAACTGGTTCCACTTTACCTGCTATACAAATATGTAGCTAATGAGTTGGGTGTTCCATTTAAATTATATTGTTTTAATAGCATACCTTTCTCTTTTTTACATTTTTTAGGTTTCTTGTTTTTTGGCCTTGAAGTGGATGCTACATCTGCTGGTCTAGTAGGACATGTTGATCTATTGTGGCCCCTTTCTCTACAAATAGTGCATCTATTAACTGAACCTGCTTTTGAGATAGTATGCCTTGTTTTCCCCTTGCTTTCCATCTCAGATTGATCTTTTTTCCTTTTAAGGGTTGGCCTTCCTGGTAACCTTCTTTTTTGAGGAGGCAATGGCTTCATGTAGGGAGCTTCAGGCCACATGGAACTACCATTAAGTGGGTTAATGGTATGGTCGTAACAAGTCAAGAACATGGCTGTATGGAACCATGGTGCAACATAATCCTTTGCATTCCTGTTAAGGTATGAAATGGCTGCCACTGCATGCACACATGGGATACCTGATACTTGCCAAGATCTACATCCACATGTGTTGTTGTTAAGGTCCACAACATATCCATCATTTCCAATCCTAACTTCATATTGTTGTATCCCAGATGGTATAACACCCCAAAATCTGCCCAAAAAAATAAGAAGTTCTATTAATCTTATAGATGAGACATATAATATTTATAAAATAGAAGTTATATCATACCTTTGCTGTTTCTTTAGCTTTGATATCTTCAACCTTATAGATGGACATATTTTTAAATTCCCCCAACTTTGTCCCTCTTGCAACATTTTATACATCCTCTCCATTGCATAAATCCTTATCTCTTCCAACATGGTGATGAGTGGCCTTTTCCTAGCAAGATCAATAACAGAGTTGAAACTTTCTGATATGCCATTCTCATAAGCATCACAAGCCCTGTCCACTTCAAAGAATGCCCTGCACCAACTTTTAGGGTCCCTTTCCATGAGGTGTTCATAAGCCAAAGGGTCAATTTTTTTTTTATGGAATTCATTTCAGCCTCAAATTTTGGTTGAGTAGTACTAGCAGCTGCTGCCCAAAACAACTTCCTATATTGTTCACCTTTGAAACTTTTCTTGAAGTTAGCATAGATGTGCCTAGCACATTGTCTATGCTCTGCTGCTGGAACCCTTTCTTTGACAGCCTCTATTAATCCCTAAAAGAAAGCATGAAATAGATGACATAACAAAAACATTCAACTTAAACAAAACAAAACAGAAATATACCTTGTGTTGGTCTGATATGAGGGTCAATCCATGACCAATTCCCATTTCAATGTCATCCAGAAGGAGGTCAAGAAACCACTTCCATGTTTCCTTATTTTCAACTTCCACCACAACCCATGCAATAGGGAAGATGTGGTTGTTTGCATCCCTACCCATAGCTGCTAACAGTTGGCCTCTACATATACCCTTTAAAAAACAACCATCTACCCCTATTACCCTCCTACATGCTGCAATCCAACCATCCTTCACACCCTTAAAACAAACATACATTTTAGAAAAGTAGGTTGTGGAATCAGGCATGACATTCACATCTATCTTTACTGTTGAACCAGGATTTGTCCTCATTATTTCTTCTCCATTACTCCATACTTTACCATAATGTTCTATCAAACTACCCTCTATCTCATCCAAAGCATATCACCTAGCATTTCTACATTGAGTGACACTAACAATCAAGTTAAACTTTGTACTCACTTTGGCCTTCATTTTCCTTATGCTCATTTTAGGGTTCTTCACAAGTTGATTCTTAAAATGCATTCCAATCCATTTATATGTTACAATGGAATCAAGTTTGAAGACTCTTGAACAGTTATGTTCATCAACTAATGACTTAATTTGGAAAGACCTTTCACTGCTCATCCAGGAAGCCCACAGTCTAAAAGGACAAGAGGGGTTCTTATTCTGTTTACAACATCTCACTAATAACCTCTGACTATCATTTTTCTCAAAATAAAGGTTGTACCCATTCTTCACTGCATAGTTAGTCAAACAATTTTTCAATTCCATGGGGTTAGAGAATCTCATACCTAGAATTGGCACCATTTTGTCCCATTTCTGGTTCTCATTATGGACAGGGTACACTGGTTTGTCATCTCCATTATTGGTTTCAACCTCATCAGTTTCAGCCTCATCATTTATATCCTTACACATACCTGACACCCGATGTAAGAATTCATCACCAATAGTCTTGTCAAGAGAAGGAATGTAATCATCTGCTTCATGCTCATATGGAATATCATCAGAAAGTTGTGAATCTTTATCATCATCCAGGTCTTCCTCAGAATAATGCCCTTCATCATCAGCCCAATCAAGTACAGGTTCATTTTCGTGGTCTATATACACATTCATTCTTAGACCGGCTTCATCACTAGAACCCGTTTCAATAAACTCAAAGTAGTCAGCATCATTCGTAATTCGCCTAATACCCTCTGCCAATGGTTCATTTCTAGTGCAATAATATACATTATCACAACTGCCTTCAATCAACTTTGCAATGAACAAGTTAAAGTCTTTGAAATCCATTGCACCAAAATCGACATCACAGATTGAAACAACAACAGCGTTCAAGTACACTAATGGTTTTGGTGCGAATAAACCATTATAATGTAAATAAACTGTTAAATACTTACTTTGTTTGGAATCGGAGGCCATCTTCTTCACTATAACACTCGCATTCACCAGTTCTCTTCAATTTCCTAACCGTATGCTTCGATTGAACTTTTTCTTCCCTCAATTAAAAAGAACCCTAACTGTAAGGACAAACGGGTGAAAGAGAAACGGTAATTAAATGTGTTCTAATTCCACGTAATAAGACATATCATCTCTAATTAAATGTGGTAACCGGTAAAACAGGTGATAACCGGTCACGGTGGCTTTGGTGAACATGGATTATAAGTTCAATGGTATAATAAAGACAAAAAAAGATAAGGGACCTAATGAATACAAGACGAATACTTTATTACCCTCAAAGGTCATTTTCCCTTGGATTAGTATATACCTAGGATAAAACTCAAAATCTCTTTTTTAATAACTCATTATTAGTCACTTTGTTAACCCCAAATTACACACCTTGTTATCAAGTTAATCCTTACTATTTTTGAAATACTAACAGGATACAAACCCTGTTTTAGTAAAAGTTGTACAAGGTAAGATTTGGGTAAAAGAAGTACAAGTGTGTACGAAGATATATAACCCGTTTAGCAATTGCAATCAGATAAAGACACGGCTTGTTTTTCTCATGTCTAGTAGGAACTCCACTACACAACCTCCTTGGAAAAAGAAAAATAAAAAGACAAAGGTTCCACTTCAATTGGTTCTTTTTTTTCTTTTTTCTTGTGTGGTTATAATGACACTTGAGCAGCAATCCCTTTTGTCCCATGATTTGCAAACAAATACCTAAAAATCTTTCAAATCCAATCGTTCTTTTCATTTTATTTGATTTGATATGATTAAAGTGGGTAGACTAAGGTTGATGTTGATAGGAGTAAAAAAATCTAGAAATAATTATTATATATGTATTTATGTTTTAGCATATAAAAACATCTCGTGATTATTTATAAAGTTTGTCAAAATTGTTGAATGATGCTTTAGTAATGAAAATTTGTACTGAATTAAGTGAATTCAAATTAAATGTCATTTTTTTTTATATATATTTTATGGTAATTTACCAATTAATGACTCGTCAAATGGATGTAGCTCAAAATGGCTTGAAAATAAAGTATGCGATGATCATTAGAAGTGTACCAACTTTACAGTCGTTCAAAGCTTGAATTTATTCTATAAATCCTTATATATCTTGGGATATTTATCTTTTCTGTTAAAAAAAGTTCTCTACAAAAATGTTCCCTTTTGCTTCTTAAAATGGACCCTGTTTTAGAAGAATATTAAAAAACTGGTCCTTACATATAAAACATATTACAGAAGCGGTTCCTGCAGTTTCTAGAAAAGGTCCCTCTATAGAATTTGTTTATAGAAATGGTCCCAATATATATATATATATATATATATATATATATATATATATATATATATATATATATATATATATATATATATATATATATATATATATATATATATATATATATATATATATGGTTAGGTTTATGTGAGACGACCTAATTTTGTAAGACCGTGGGACACATTTTTTTATTTTTTTTTTAATTTTTTTTAGTTCATTCAAGTTTCGAAAATAATATTTAAAAAAAGCATTTTTTGATTTTTCCATTTATTTTGCATTTTAAAATTATTTTTACAATATGTACAGTGTAATATTCTATTTAGAATATTTCACGTATTTTTCAAAAAAATATGATTTTATTTATTTTTTTTAGTTAATTCAAGTTCCGAAAATAATATTAAAATTTTTTTTTAGATTTTTCCATTTATTTTGCATTTTAAAATTATTTTTTAGAATATGTCAGTGTAATATTCTATTTAGAATATTTCACGTATTTTTAAAAAATAAACGAGATTTTTTTTTTAAATTTTTTAAATTTTTTAAAATTTTTTTAATTAATTCAAGTTCCGAAAATAATATTTAAAAAAAGAATTTTTGGATTTTTCCATTTATTTTGCATTTTAAAATTATTTTTAGATTTGGTCTCACGGTCCCACAAAATTAGAATGGTCTCAAATGAGCTTGAACATATATATATATATATATATATATATATATATATATATATATATATATATATATATATATATATATATATATATATATATATATATATATATATATATATATATATATATATCAAGAAATTACTTAAATGATCTTTGATAACAAGTTTTATAGAAACGGTTCCTATGTTTTAAAAAATTAGAGTTGTGGTCCTTGCCTAATAAATTTTTTACATAAATGGTCTCATCCACATTTCACAAAATCTACTATAATCAATTAATATTTTTTTTATTACATGCCACACTCTTATTCAATTTGTTAAATGTCATTTTGTGATTATTTTGATTTTTTTCCATGTGTCATTTTATGAGATTTTTTTTGGAACCGGCAAATTTTATTAAAAATGAGTTATTTATTTATTTTTTATTTTAATAAATTTCACATAATACTTTAATATAATAATTACAATAAGTATAGTAATAAATGGATATCAATTTAATTAATAGACTTACCTTCTTATTTCAAAATTCTCAAATTAAAACCTATTAGTTTATTTTGTTTATTTATTTTAATTTAAAAGATTAAAAACCCAATTTTAATAATTCATTATTTTTTTTATTTTTTCTTATAAATCCAAAGTTCTTAAATATTAATATTTTTATATTTATTTATTTTTTAATTAACCCATGTAATAAATGAGTCTTATACCTAGTGATAGACATATTCCTTGCTTTTACCAAATTACGAAAATAATTTATGCCAAAAGCTATGTTACACATAATTAGAGAAATTATCAGTGTCTAATAACAAATTTATAGAAATATTCTCTATTAGGTGTGAGACCCATGTATTACATGGGTTTATTTAAAAAAATTAAATATGAAATTTTAACAATTTGAAAAGTTTGAATTTATAAGAAAAATAAGAAAATTTTTAAATTATTCAAATTAATGAGGCTTTAATGTATTGAATACATTATATATATAAACCATTTCTAATAAATGTCTTACATATATATTAGTTTACATATTAAATGTGAAATTTTAATATAATAAAATGAAAAATACAATAAAATAACAAGTGGAAAATAAAAATTTTAAAAATTTTAGAAAATGTCATGTGTCCAAATTAATGAGAAGAGGACATGTGGCAAGAAAACCTTAATTTATTATAGTAGATGTAAGAGAACATTAGAAAAACTATATTTAAAATATAAAATTAATAAAGCGGCCGTAAAACATGGATCACCCCATTAATTATGTACATTTATCGATGCGAAAAATAATTCATGTTACGTAAAAATGCGGATAAGAGTATGTAGGCGTTATCTTGTAAAACTTATTAATTTGTACTCTTTCGCTTCTCTAGCATCTTGTTAGTGAAGCGTTTATAATATATTTGCCGGTTCCAAAATAAAAAAAAAACGTAAAAATGTTTTCCACCCTTTGTACCCGTGTCCTTGTATTACCTGAGATGAATCCAAGAACCAATAAAGCATAGTTATAATCCACTAACACTTTATTAAGCCGAATAATAATGCGTTTAGAACTAAGACAATGATATTTTATAATATCTAGTAATAATGGTAGTTGAACTTGTAAAAGGCACTTTTCTTTTTAATTAACAAGCTTTAGAGATGATGAATGTGGTGATACCACTTGTAATTCTATGTGCTACACATTATCATCATTTTGATACATGACGACTCTCCATAGGTCTATTTCTACAATTTATTTTATCCTTTGTTAATTTACGAGTCTATATGATATTTCAAATCAATGATGCTTGTAATTGTTATGTATAGGTTTTGAATTCATGAGTTTATAGTGATACATAGCATAATGGGTTGTGTCATTTCAATCAATTTGATTTCAATTACACAAAGACATTTGGAAAACGCTAATTACAATGATATTAAATCAGTGAAATGAGATTACAACAGATGTTAGGCAGAAAACTTCATGTATTTGAATATTGTTACAGATAGTGGGTAGGTTTATCTCGAAGTTGATTTACCATGATTATCGTGTAGGGGGGTAAACAGTATTCGAGTACAACATCAAGATATTTCTTTTGATAAAATTAATCATATGGTAATTAAATGATAAGAAATTAACAAAAGAGAAAGTAATATCATGGACAATTGAATTTCTCAGAATTAAATAATAATAAAAATAATGAAAAATAAAATTTGAACTAGAATTAGCTGTTTTTTTAAGGAAAAATGTATCTTTTAGTTTAATAATCTTGTCATTCAAAGAAAGTAAAGAGCATAACGAAATATTTTGATAATAACAACACATACTTTTTACTAATTAAACTGTGCAAATATGCCATGAAAATGGCAGTATGAGTACGAACGAGAAATAGGCTTAACGATTTATGACATAAAGGCACTATGAACATATTTGATCCGATAGATATGTGCTATATATTTATAAAAACACTAGTATAAACTTGTGTAAAAATAAATAGAAGGGTGTGACCGGTGACTTGATCTGGTTAGTGTGTTTGATATGTGAAATAAAAGTGTCTAATTCGGTTGTAACCCTCTGATTCGATCTATTAGATGAAACTGTTGAAAATTTTAGTATAAATTTGTGTATTTTGCTAACTTTGAACATATATAAATATATACATATGTTGTATATATAATTAACTTTAAGTGAATTTATGTTCTATTTCGTGAGAGTTTTGAAATGATATATCGTAGGTCCAAAATTAAGTATATGTGAATGAGATATTGATACTCAAATTTGAGTATTTGAGAATAGAAGTCAACAAAAGAGGTAGGTGTGATCGAATCCCACATTGGTAGGAAGACCATACTCAAGTGAGTTTATAAGCTTGAATGGATGATAAATTTAGAAGCTTGTGCCTATGGTTTTACAATAACTCATACTCGCATGAAGGGCGCGTTGCAAATACTCATCTTCTTCCTCCTATTCTCTACAATTGTTTCCAACAAGTAAGCCATATCCGACAGTACACACGATTTCGGTTGTTGTACCCTCGGAACAGATGG